TTAAAAAAAAAAAAAAAAAAAAAAACTTGCAGTAAGCCCCACCCACACTATTGTTATAAATCAGATACTAGACAGTACTACAGGGTATTTCAGGAAGCAACAGATTCACTCCTTTGGCGAACACCTCTGGTTAACGCCCATAAATGTTATTCTAAGCTTAGACTCATTTCTTCCATGATGCCCAAAAGCAGTGAGTCAATAGGGAAACCCTTTCTCTGGGCTCCCCAGTGCATCCTGCTTATTCTGCATCTATATGATCTCTGTATTACAGACTCTTCTGGATGTGGGCTGCCTGCAGGGTAAGTTTTATACAGCAATGAGTATAGGAATGGGATTCAATTACTTAAGGATCTTGAGCCCTACTGTTCATATGATCAGCTAGCACAGACTTTTCTCTCTCAGGGAGGTCCACAGGAACATATAGGGGTAGGAAAGTATGTGCTAGGAGATCATATTTTAGGACTGGGAACCATAAACATTTGTGTACTCTGTTCCAGAGACATTCTCTTTAACATTTTCTCTATTTTAAATTATTTATTACTGTTCAATCTATCTACGCTTGCAAAGCAGCATTTGCCTTCCTCTTCCAATACCTTGGTACTTTGAAGACATCTGTAGAAGAAATTTCTCAGCTTGATCCTCTTTTGCATCAGGATAAAACACAAGGATTTAAGTGGAATGGTTTCAATTTTAGAGATGCAGGTATAATAAGAGAATTGAACTCTCTCTTTTACAACCTGTTCAAAACACTAACAAAGAGTGCTAGATTTCAAAAACTCGCATGCCATTTGACCACCATTAGGTGACATACTCTGGAAGAGGAATATATTTTATGTGGAAGCAGTTGAGGGAGGGTCAGTTATACCAAATAATAGCTTGCACATATTAAATGTAATTTGCAGACTGTGCAAAGCCACTGTTGTTATGTGGCACAAGGTGAGAAGCTGTACAACATACTAAAGAGTGACATCAGTACCCACGATAATAATGTTTACCTTTTGTAGCAGTAAGGTACGGAGTATTTAGAGAGACTTACAACCAAGAACAGAAAAAACAACCTGGGCTTAAAAAAGAAATCCAGGAATTATCACAGGAAATGTTTCTTTTTGAGACAAGCCAGAATTTGGTGTCAACTGAAAATTCCATTCATGTTCCAGGTCATCAATAAAAGATGTTAAATGATGCTAGATCTAGCTCTGATCTCTAAGCCACCCCATTAGTTAACTTTCCCAACTCAACACATTGTTAATTATCATTTTCTTGAATACAGTCATCGAGCCAATATAAATGCAGAGCCAAAATAAATTAATTGGAACTACAATGCAGATAAAAGACCCACCAGGCTGAACAGATGTAACTCAGTAATGTTTTACAAAATACTTCAAATCTGCATGCCCTTGTAGACCTTTCCCACCATTTCCAACCCCCCATTTTTCAAGTAATATGTTCTGGGGAGATTGTCTATGCGCATGTATGGGCACAAAAATATGTTGTAGATGCACAAGAATCATCATGTGTTTCTGCACACTAGGTGATGATCACATGTATAAATGGCATGGACATCTGCCTTACCATCTAAACTGTAAGTACGTCACTTATAACAACATGCTCCTTATGTAAAATAATATGAAATGAGAAGGCTCATTACCTCTCCCCCCAAAAAAACCTCCCAAAACAATCCATTACTTTTATTTTCAAATGCTGATGTGCAGACATTTTGGAAACAGAAAATACAAGAAATTAAAAACTTGTAAATAAATTTGTGACAAAGGCATAGGGCAATTTGGAGAGTATGTCACTGATGCAAGGGCAGGCAAGGTTATTTGGGTAAATGTGATATCTTTTATTAGATATCACATTTACCCAAATAACCTTGCCTGTGTATGCCCTTAGATCAACACAGCTACAACCAATATCAGTGATGCAAATCATTTTCCCCTTACGGTATAGATAACAGACTTCCCCTGTGTGTTGCACCTTATTAGGTGCTCTTCATTTAAGTATTGGCAATGCTGTAGGTAGGCTGTCTCTTCTGAGGTTTGCTTCTCCATGTACAAAGTATACACAGGTGCCACCCATGGTGTTTTAATTATCACTGCAGACTATTTTGCCTTGACTTAATTCTGGAAGCTCGATTCATCTCTTTCCAGTCCCTTTGTGCCACTCCAGCTGCCCATAAACATTTTTGGCCTCGAGATGAAGTTCTTACATTGGGCCTCCACTTTCTCCCAGTCATACTTCTTTGCAGCTACTGAATCTATGCCTGTAGCTGATTTACTTATGTTTCCATAACCAGGGATCAGACATGCTCCACAAAAGCCCACAAATCCAGGGAGTGCAAAGATGGTGTAAGTGCACTTGTGTCCACTATTCTGTCCCTGCACCAAGCACAGGAACAGAAAAGCTGACTGCCTTCTCTGCATTCGAGCAGTTAGCAATACAGCAAGCCAACAGCATGCTCTACGCCGGGGCAGGCAATTATTTTGGGCAGAAGGCCACTTACTGAGTTTTGGCAAGCCATTGAGGACCACATGACAGGCAGCCCAGGGCAGATGAATATTAATTTTCTAATTTTTTTAGGGGCCCCGCGGGCTGGATAGAATAACCTGGCAGGCCGCATCCGGCCCCTGAGCCTCATTTTTCCCACCCCTGCTCTATGCAATACGAAAGCCATACAAACTCAGCCTATGTTCCAGAGAGCTCAGAGTGACCCAGACACACAGGAACTTCCGAGAAACAGAGGAGATGTTAATACAAATGGCGATTCAGGGGAGACTATACATTTACTCTCCCTCTGTGCTGTGTTGGAGACACTGACTGATGTGGGCGATCTGATAACACAGGAAGTTACAAATGAACTGTGTTTGTTCAGTTGGAGAACAAGCTTTTCAGAGGCTTTTCACTCATTTTTACCCCATCCCCTTTTTCAGAACTGCCACCCACCACTTTCCTTCCCTCCCAGGGCAATGGAGCAACAGCATCAACGAGTCTCTTTGTGGTCCTGCCTGCAGCTGCTGACACGTGGAGTGGTCAACCCTCTCCCTCAGAGACTGCCCCACTTCCATCATGATATGTAGCCTGCTTCTCCAGAGACTAATCGGCACAGCTCGCTTTCAAACTTATGACCTTGGCTGCGGATGGTGCTGCTACGCCAAGTTACAGTATCCCACAAGTTAAGAAAAAATAAACAGCTGAGTGGATGCTTAGATCCTATGGAATAGATTTTAAAAACACAGTGGCTATCTTATCTAGCCACTGGAGCCTGGTTATGATTTACTAAGTGCTAACATCTGACTTCAAGCCAGCAAAAGAAAATGCACTGAGGCTACTGCTTTTGTGTACGAGCTGGAGCTAGGACTTGTGCAGCATCATTTTGTGACCTACATTATCTAAGCTAAGAAAAGTTGACACTCAGAACCCTGTTCTGCTTGTCCTCAAGGAGATAAAAATCGGCACCTCTCTGGGATGACAAACGGCAAGCTACACATCCAGCCATAAGGGGCCAAGGGGTGAGAGCCATGGTGAAACCTCGGGCCATGAGCTAAGGGGGAAGAAAACTGCAAGCACCCCCCACCCCCAAACTAGCATCACATGGATCATCACCATCCTGGCCATTTAGGGACCAACTCCACACTCATCATTCACATTAGAATAACTTTCCTCAAACCCAGTTGCAATCAGACTTTGTGCTTATGTCACAGTTCTCTTTTTCCCAGCGTCTATTCTTTGTCCTTTTAGGCCATAAGCCTTCAGTACAGATCCTGTGCCTTCTTGAATTCCTGAAGAATGCCCAGTTTGGACCCTCCCGT